GTTTAAAAATGTGGAAACCACTCATTGCATCACACCACACCATCTCCTGACTGCATTATTATTGTAAAATAGGGGCTTTATGGAGTGTGTATAGCCTACATGGTTATAAGTATAACAGTTAATATTTCATTAATTTAGGGAAATTAACAAGTGTCTTAGCCCTCAAGGGACTATTTGGCCAACTAGCTTATTCCTGCTTGAAAAGCAAAATGTTATTGATAGTGTAAAAAACATCAACTTTGAAGCACATGTGATTGATGGACTAGCATTACTCAACATTACTTACTACCTTACAGCAACACTACATTCAATGAAGGTAAAATAGCAAAAAAATAATAATAGTTCATTTAAATGGAACCGGAATCGGAACCGGGAAATTTCTAACGATACCCAACCCTACTCTCCATCTAAAATTCTTTCATATTTTAACATGAAAAATTTGTTTTTTAAGTGGAATTTGGTGTGATTACACTGCATGCATTCACTTTTATACATTTTAAGATACCAGTTTGTGTTGATGAAATGTCAGATCAAAAACATGTCAACTGTGGAGTTCCACGAGGCTCAGTATTTGGTCCTTTACTTTCCTCTTTGTATATGTTTCCCTTGGGCAGAGATGATCAGGAAACATGGCATAGTTTCCAGTAATGTAACACTCTGTTTTATATTTTCAAACCTGAGCCAAGTTAACAGAGTGTATTTGTGATTTCAAAGACTTGATGACTAGTAATTTCCTTCTTTCCAAGTCTGCCAAAAAAGATATTTGTTATTGGACCAAAAACCTCTGAAAATAAGACAATAGAATATAAACAAAGCTCCATTAATTTATAATGCAAGTCTATTGCATAAGTCTGTTGTATAAATATCTAGTTCAGTCATAAAATTCTAGATGTCATTTAAAACATCCTTCACATGCAATCTGCTAGCAATAGCACAATTCACAAGCTGATTGGCCTCTGCTTATTCTGTAGCTTATATATAGCATATATAGTCTGCCAAAACCAACTACATTAACACTGTCATATCCATTAACATGCTACAACTGACTGAAATTTGTTTATAGTGATGTGTTTTCACAGGCTCAGCACCAAAACTTAACTTCCAGCTATGCTTCTTCTACACAACACTAATGCTGCTCATGTGAGCGATGTGAATACTGTAACCGGTTACAGATGCTGAAGTAAACACACACTATGTGCGCATGCTGAATGAAACAGGCCATATATGCGAGCTTGTTATGTTTATGGCAGAGGAAGGATTCTTTTTTTTGTAACTTTCTTTTTATTTTTTATCTTTTAGAAATAAAAAACAACAACATACAATAACATCTAAACAACAGAACAGTCATTTGGTCACCTATACATTCTTACATAAACATATTGATGGAAGTATATCTCAGATGATACAGCAGACAATAGCCGTGTCATAGAGTCATAAACACAATCCATTTTTCCCAATACTGTAAGTATTTATCCATCCTTAACTTTAATGCGAACGTCATCCTCTCCATGTTTTGGACACTGTTCACAATGTCCAGCCATTCAGTCTTTGTTGGAGGTTCTAATTGTAGCCACTTTCTTGTTACAGCTTTCTTACTGGCTGCTAATACTATCTTTAAAAGGTATTTATCTTTCTTCATCAAATGAGCTGCTAAATTGCCCAGATAAATTGTAGAAAAAGAACAATCAATTCCCTCACCGAAAATTATATGTATTACTTGTATTATCTCCTGCCAATATGACTGAATGGCTGGGCAGCTCCAGAATACATGAAAATGATCTGCCAACTGTTCCCCACATTTCCTCCAACACAGACCACTTCCATTCTCGCCAATCTTAATAGATTTTAACTTGGGGGTTGTAAAGTATCTAATAATATTTCACAGCAGAATTCTCTCCACATACCCGAGCTGGTAGAAGTAGCCTGTACAGAACAGATATTCAGCCAGTCTTCCCCTGAGATGCTTAGACCGGATTCTTTCTCCCATTTTAAAAAGTTTTTCCAGAATATATGTATCAGAAATATCCTGAAAGCTATCTAATTCTCCCTTTGATGAAATTGAACTAAAAGAGGTGATGCCAAGCCTATACCAGAGCTGAAACCTCCCATCAGCCCTTGCTGGTTTAAAGTCAGGGTCGAAAGCAACCCATTTTAGTAGTTTAGATTGTCTTACAAGTAATGTTGATTTGCATTCTTTAAACCAGATTCTGAGAGGAACTTTAGTCCACTGATTTAAACTTTTAGAATACTGTCCATATAAGATTTTGCTACCAAGTACTGATTGCAGTGGTATAGCAAGCTGAGAGATCTCCAAATCCTTCCACTTTGCTATATATTCTGGATTACAACAGCATGCTAAAGATCTTAGCTGGGCAGCTTTGAAATAGTCTGAAAAACATGGTAGTGATCTACCCCCTTTCTCTTTAGATAGCTGCAGTGTTTTAAATTGAATTCTTGGTCTCTTACCCCCCCATATGAATCTTGAAGTCCACTTATCCCATTCAGTAAATTGTTTTAATGGAACTTCAACTGGTAAGGATTGGAAAAGGTATAGAAGTCGGGGAAGCACGTTCATTTTTACTGTATCTATCCTGTTATGCATCTCTAAGGGCAGTTGGGACCACCTATCTATATCTGATTTAATGTTCTTACTTGTAGGACCATAATTACTGTCAAATAATTTAGAAATATCCTTTGTTATTATAATCCCCAAGTACTTAATACTTGATGAGTTCCAATTAAATTTAAACCTACTCGGCATGTCATTCTGAGGGGTGTAGTTATAGAGGAAGGATTCTTACCCACAGTTATGGCGGTGTTCTTCTGGTACGGGTCATAAGGACAGCGGCCTCTGCCTTCTTCTGGCTTACCGCTGGGGCCTGTAGCCACGGAAAATGTCTTTGAATTCTGTAGAGGTGAGCACATAAAGCATATGTGCATTAAAACACTGATCACAACTTGAAGCAATTAGACTAGGAGAAAGTTCACACCACATTTTCAGCCCTGCTGATTGTTCAGATTTGATCTGAAGACGCAATGAGAAAATTAATAAAATCCTTCACAGGCTGTGGTGGTTTCATTCAGAAAGCTTTCTATTTTGCATGCACATCCCCCACGAGACACGCACATGCACACACACACACACACACACACACACACACACACACACACAGATCTTCTTCCTCTCACACTCATGAAAGCACAGAATGAGGAAGAGGCACTAAAACAGAGTGTTTGCATGACAGTATCACAGAATGCTCAATGGCATGTGAAGGACAGTCACGCAAGTTTCTATCTTTAAAGTGCACTGAAAGCACTGAAGTCGTAAACTAATCAAATCTTACTATAAAAAGTTATGCGAGGGTTTACACTACATGAACTTGGGCCCTTAGACAGTAAAGCAGCCTTCCACTATCTCAAATAGATTGTTACTATTTGCCCCCTAGTGGTAGCCACACAGAACTTTTAAACCGGTTCTGAAGCAGCTGCTACCCTCCACTAATTCACCATTGTAAAATAATTTTTACATGAATTTTAAATGCATCCAAACAATGCACACAAAGCAACTGATCACCAATATGTCTAAAAGAAAAACAGGTCATTTTCACCCTGCACTCAAAATTTTTTATTTAGAGCACATCATATCCGCTCTGGTGGTTGTATACAGTCTAGCTGCAAGTTTAAATATTTTTACACAATGGAAGCTCTAATTTAAATATGAAAAGCTGTAATGTAAATATGGAAATTCTGCATATAATCGGAACTCCATGCAGCTTCTGTGCTACTGCAAACGGAAATGCACGACTTTCGGTCTATCATTTGTTGCAAACTGAGAAAAGGCGGCTTAATGGGAGTAAACCAAGGGCAAAAATAACTGTGAAAAGATGGATACTGTCTGTCTTACGATGTAGATGCAGCGGGGGCTGAAGGCAAACGTTCCACAGGCGTACATATGGGTGGAGTTCAGCACTTGCAAAACCCTCACGAAGTTATGACAATCCATCTGAGGGTGGAAAGGGGAGGTTAGGTTAAACACCAGCTTAAGAAGACCGATATTTTGCTAAGTTTAACATAAGGGTTAAAAAGATCAGACCGTTTAGCACTGGATGGTTTCCCATACCTTCATTTTGCCTTTCATGGCACAGTCAGCAAGATCTTTTTCTGACGGAGACCAGTCCAGCTGAAATTTGAGTTTGAAAAAATGGGTCAGATTCATCACATGCATATATTAAAGCTGATATTTATTCATTTAAAATCGTATAAAAAAGCTGCAAGAAAACAAACATTAACAACACAATATATACATATACATACGTGCAAACTCATACACATATATTAAATCACTTTAATTTTCAGAGCACGCTGATTACTTAAAACAAATAAAAGTTAACAAATAAAACTTAAATAACACAATGTATTTATTTCAGTGAGAAAAATGCTAGTATTTATTGACAAAATAATTTGTAGCTTAATCTATGCAAGCAATAATGTATGAAAGATCTTGCTGAATTTTGATTATAGTCATGACTACATGACTCTTTTTAAGTCACAAGTACAAAAGTGCTTTATTGCTTATATAAAATAGTATATAAATTAAAAAACTATGTCTCTGACATAACAGAAGGTTGCTATGCAGCATAAATGTAGCGCCCCCTTCAGTCCTAGGTGTATCTACACTTTGGAATTGTTGACGCTAGAACCCAGATTCGTTTAATTGTGTCTCTCGACGTGATTTTACTTAGTCAAAATGTGACCCTGCTTTTTTATACTACTTCTTACAAAGTACAACGCTGACCCCTGTAAATTGCTTTCCAAAAAATATAGCTACGTATCAGTTCTTTTTAAAATGACACGCTATGTAGCAGAAATATACAATGAATTTATTTAAAAGAAAATAGACAAAAGGAATCAAAGATTAATCGAAATCTGTTCTCTCAACTTATAAATAAGCTCTCAGTGGTTCTTTTTGTTTTCTTTTTTTAGCTCTAGACCTAGTTACTGGCCTTGGAGGAACTTCTTGTCTCTCACCCAACTTTGGCATCCGTACTGAATCTCCAATAGGTAAGAGATGATCCCTGTGCATTGTCCGGACTCCTCCTGTGCCTTTCTCAGGTTTGAGTCTGTAGACGGGTAAATTGTCAAACTTTTCAAGAACAATGTATGGGGCTGAATTCCACCTATCCTCCAGTTTGTGCTTTCCTGTGAAACTCAGTTTTCGAATTAGCACACGGTCCCCAGGCTCTATGTTTTGGTATTTCACCTTTTGATCATAGAGACATTTGTTCCTCTGATGATTTTTTAGTGCGGTCTCAGAAGCTAGTCGGTATGCTTTCTGAAGATCTGTCTTCAGGTTTTCAACATACTTCTGGTATGTCTGTCTTTCTCCTCCCCCTGAGGAAGTACCAAAGCACACATGAACTGGCAAGCAGGCTTCTCTCCCAAATAAGAGAAAATAAGGTGAGTACCCTGTAGCCTCATTTTTAGTGCAATTGTATGCATGTACTAATTTGCTGATGTGTTGACTCCATTTGTGTTTTTCTGCAGCATCCAATGTGTCCAACATGGAGAGCAGGGTCCTATTAAATCGTTCAGGTTGTGGGTCTCCCTGAGGGTGGTACGGTGTTGTCCTTGATTTTTTTATCCCTAGCATACCCAAGAGTTCTTTTATAAGCCTACTTTCAAAGTCTCTGCCTTGGTCTGAATGTATACGAGCTGGCAGTCCGTAATACACAAAGAACTTCTCCCAGAGAATCTTCGCAACCATCACTGCTTTTTGATCCTTAGCAGGGTAAGCTTGGGCATAGCGTGTAAAGTGGTCAGTGACGACCAGGACATTGGCGATACCTTTGGAATCTGGCTCTACTGATAGGAAATCAATACATATTAATTCCATTGGCCCACTACTAGTGATGTTACTCAGGGGAGCACATTTCTGAGGTAATGTCTTTCTGGCCATGCATCTTCCACAGCTTTTGACATACTTTTCCACCTCAGAAGTCATTCGAGGCCAATAAAACCTGTCCTTCACAAGTTCAGTGGTCCGTTCGATTCCTAGATGTCCTGCATCATCATGTAAGGAATTCATTACTTGTTGATGGAACTGTTCAGGTAGAGCAAGCTGTTTTTTCTCTTTACCACAGGAACTTTTAGATATTCTGTACACCAGCTCATTCTGGATGACCAGCTTAGAACCTTGCCTCAGCAAAACAGCCATTTGTGGACTAGAACTTGCATCAGCGGTAAGTACCTTTCCCTGCTCCAAAGCTAGCTTCACCGGTCCAATAACTGGATCTTTGTCTTGTGCCAACTTGAGGTCAGCGACTAGCCGGAGTCCCTCTGGATACTCTTGGTTTAGTACTGCACCTAAACCATTCTGGCTTGCATCCACATGTAGGATATGGGTCTTGGTAGAGTCAGCGAATGCCAGGACAGGGGCATGAGTAAGGCAGTAGATAATGGTTTTAAAAGCTTCAGTACAATCTTCGCCCCACCGCTCACCAAACGGCTCTGACTCTTTTAAGTATTTCCCCTCAGTGGTGCCCTTTTCACCCCTTTTGGCTGGAGGACACCCTTTGGTAAGTTCTGTCAGGGGTCGCACAATTGCAGAGTAGTTTTTGACAAACCGCCTGTAGAACCCACAGAATCCAAGGAATGATCTCAAAGCTTTAACATCTGTGGGCATCCTCCACTTAGCAACTGCTGCTATTTTCTCTGGGTCAGGAGCAACACCATTAGAGGAGACAATATGGCCCACATATTTGACTTGTGACATACAGAGCTGGCATTTGTCAAGGGATATTTTCAGACCATACTCCTCCAAACGGTCTAAGACTTTCAAAAGCCTCCGTTCATGTTCTTCCAGAGTGGAACCAAAAACAATAATGTCATCAAGGTAAACTATCACTTCTAGCAGATGCATGTCCCCCACTGCATGCTCCATTAGTCTTTGGAATGTCGCAGGTGCTCCACTAACCCCCTGCGGCATCCTTTCAAACTCATAAAATCCCAGAGGACATATGAAGGCAGTCTTCTCCTTATCTTTGTCGGCCATGGCTATTTGGTAATAGCCACTTCGAAGATCTAAGACTGAAAACCACTTGCTTCCTGCAAGACAGTCCAACGCATCATCTATACGTGGGGTAGTGTACTGATCTGGAAGCGTTCTGCTGTTCAGTGTACAATAATCAATACACATGCGTATTGCTCCACTCTTTTAACGAACGATTACAATTGGGGAAGCATAAGGACTTCGGGACTCTTTAATAATCCCCGCAGCTAACAGGTCTTTGAGGTGTCGACGGACATCGTCAATATCAGCTGGAGCAATAAGTCGAGATCTCTCTCTAAATGGTTTAAAGTCACTCAGACGAATGTGATGCTTAACATCCTTTGCCAGTTCCACATCCCACTCCTCAACAGAGAAGACATTACCTCTCTCAGACAATTTCTGACTGAGTCGCTCTTCCCACTCTTTTGGAATTTCTGACTTATTGAAATCAAACAACTTCGGATCAATCCTCTTGGGCTTTGATGGGACATCAGATGCTGCAGTCACTGTATCGGTATGAAACATATGAGCAATAACTGTTCCAACTGGGATGGTTATATCTTTGCACGTCTCATTTTTAATCAGCACCTTGACTTTGTTCTTCTCCACAGCAGAAGAGGGCAGTACAACTGGTAGAATGAACTGTCCAGCAGGCAGCATATCATCTGAGCTTCTGCACAGCAGAAGAGGGCAGTACAACTGGTAGAATGAACTGTCCAGCAGGCAGCATATCATCTGAGGGTGATTCTACCATGAAAATTTCCTTCTCCAATTTGTTCCAATGATTACCGGCACTTGTTCATGGCCCTCAGGTTCAGGACAAACCAGCGCAAGGATGGAAACAGTTTCTTCCACACCCATGACAGAAGCTGGAAAGGAAACATCTACCAAGACATAACCTTTGTAGGGGTAACTGGCTGCACTAAGACCCCAAATAGATAGGCCAGAAAGAGGCTGAATGGGTACTGATGACAGATTTTTAGAGTATCATGACTCAAAGATGATAGTGACCTGAGATCCACTATCTAATAAGGCTTCACAGGGCTGCCCATTGATCTTCATAGCAATTGTCAGAGCTGGACCCACCAACCCTGCAGGAAGGCTACTTTTCCCAACCACAACTGTCTGGCTTTTCCGGGAGAAACTGGTTTTATCCCCAGTGTGTTTACCACTCTGATCCATCCTTTCACTTTTGGCCTTTCGTAATGATCGCACAAGCTTCTGTATCACCAGGCTGTAATTCTCAGTAGCTTTGCACCTTGGAGCGATGTGGCCATCTTCCCCACATTTGTAACAGAAGTAATCTTCATTAGTCGTTTCAAATCTGGGTTTCACAGATGTAATAGCCTGCTCGGGTGGTTGTGTTTCTTTTGATGACTGTGACGACTGTCTGACACTCAGTGAAGCCAGCTGCTCTTCTAGTCTTTGTATCTGCCTCCTTATTGCGTGTACTTCCAGGTCTGCTGGTGTGTCACCTCCTCTCCTACTTGGTACAGGCTTTGACTCCCACATCACCTCCGACACAGGTACTTTAAAAGGACCCTCTGTTACTTTTGTCCGCAGCTCTTGAATCTCAGCCTTCAGTTCTCTCACTGCAGCCAAACCAGCTAGTTTCTGTCGTGGTCGAGGGATGGGTTTTGCAGTGGAACCCAGACTATGTCTGGCAGCTTCACTTTCTTCAGCCTCCCTAATCTCATTCAAGAGAGCTAGAAAAGTAGGTGGATTCTCTCGTCTCTCTCTCAATCGCAACTGAAGCAACAACAAGTCAGATTCAACAGCTCCTCGAATTAGCTGCTCAATTCTTGTTCTGTCGACATTGTTCCCAGGCAACCCACCTTTTTGCGCTACCCTTGTCAAAGATTTTTCCATTCTCTTCAAGAAATCAGAAAGTGCTTCATCAGGATTCTGCCTCAACAACCTGAAAGCAAAATATAAATCTTCTCCTGATTCAGGAGTTCCAAAAGCACCCTCCAAAGCCTCAAGATACTGAAGGGAAGTTGTATCTGGATTAGCAAATCTGATAGCCTTCACAACATCCAGGGCTGAACCCTTTAGGCTTTCAATGATATGTCGACGCTTCTCTTTCTCTGAGCATTCACACTCCATGACCATCATTCTGGCTTGATCCATCCAGGTCTCCAAGGCTTCTTCCCCTGTTGGAATAGGAACAGTACCTGAAAAGGTTCTCAAGCGTCGGTATGCACTTCCATCACTAACAGGTTTCAAAGTCTTTTCCATCAGCTCACCCACCGCACGGATAATTGCTTCTGGAGACCCTGCATTGGAACTGGGTGAAGAGAACATAGCTTGAAGATCAGAGACAGACTTTCCTTCCTGTACTAACAGCTTTGATAGTTTCTCAGCAAATCTTTTTTGCACTCACACAGCACAAGTATAAACCCTGGTGTTGGCCCTTCTTTATAATCCCTGACTCTCACTCTTCCCAAAGCTTTGACTGCTTGGACAGTTTGCTCAATTTGTGCCACCTCCAAACCTGCAGGCACTTCCAACAGTAACACTGCATGTTTCTGATCAACTATTGCTTTCTGACACCATTCATCCAGTTCAGTTTGTAAGACAGAATCATCAGCATCCATTTTCTCCTGACTCACATGAACACCAGCTTTCCTGCAAGCAGAATATTCTCTATGCACTGACTTTCAAGCAGTACAACAGCAGGAATCGATCCCGGACGAGTCCCCACTTTATGTAGCACCCCCTTCAGTCCTAGGTGTATCTACACTTTGGAATTGTTGACGCTAGAACCCAGATTCGTTTAAATGTGTCTCTCGACATGATTTTACTTCAAATCAAAATGTGACCCTGTTTTTTATACTACTTCTTACAAAGTGCAACACTGACCTCTGTAAATTGCTTTCCAAAAATATATCTACGTATCAGTTCTTTTTAAAATGACACGCTATGTAGCAGAAATATACAATGAATTTATTTAAAAGAAAATAGACAAAAGGAATCAAAGATTAATCGAAATCTGTTCTCTCAACTTATAAATAAGCTTTTATCTTCAAATACAGCTAGTTTCTGTCGTGGTCGAGGGATGGGTTTTGCAGTGGAACCCAGACTATGTCTGGCAGCTTCACTTTCTTCAGCCTCCCTAATCTCATTCAAGAGAGCTAAAAAAGTAGGTGGATTCTCTCGTCTCTCTCTCAATCGCAACTGAAGCAACAAAAAGTCAGATTCAACAGCTCCTCGAATTAGCTGCTCAATTCTTGTTCTGTCTACATTGTTCCCAGGCAACCCACCTTTTTGCGCTACCCTTGTCAAAGATTTTTCCATTCTCTTCAAGAAATCAGAAAGTGCTTCATCAGGATTCTGCCTCAACAACCTGAAAGCAAAATATAAATCTTCTCCTGATTCAGGAGTTCCAAAAGCACCCTCCAAAGCCTCAAGATACTGAAGGGAAGTTGCATCTGGATTAGCAAATCTGATAGCCTTCACAACATCCAGGGCTGAACCCTTTAGGCTTTCAATGATATGTCGACGCTTCTCTTTCTCTGAGCATTCACACTCCATGACCATCATTCTGGCTTGATCCATCCAGGTCTCCAAGGCTTCTTCCCCTGTTGGAATAGGAACAGTACCTGAAAAGGTTCTCAAGCGTCGGTATGCACTTCCATCACTAACAGGTTTCAAAGTCTTTTCCAGCAGCTCATCCACCGCACGGATTATTGCTTCTGGAGACGCTGCATTGGAACTGGGTGAAGAGAACAAAGCTTGAAGATCAGAGACAGACTTTCCTTCCTGTACTAACAGCTTTGATAGTTTCTCAGCAAACCCAGCAGGCGGCGACTCAGATCTTTTTGCTGCAACCATTTTCCAAGGCTTCCCACCTCCTTCAGGTATTACTTCTACAGGTAGGCGAGAAGGATCAACCACTTCTTTGCACTCACACAGCACAAGTATAAGCCCTGGTGTTGGCCCTTCTTTATAATCCCTGACTCTCAATCTTCCCAAAGCTTTGACTGCTTGGACCGTTTGCTCAATTTGTGCCACCTCCAAATCTGCAGGCACTTCCAACAGTAACACTGCATGTTTCTGATCAACTATTGCTTTCTGACACCATTCATCCAGTTTAGTTTGTAAGACAGAATCATCAGCATCCATTTTCTCCTGACTCACATGAACACCAGCTTTCCTGCAAGCAGAATATTCTCTTTGCACTGACTTTTCGTCTCTCCCACCCCCGACTGACATCCTCGGTGGCCAATCACAGTTGCCCTACTTGACATTAGGCGGGATTAAGTCACTTTTCAACCAATAACATTAAATCAAACACAACTTCTTGACACAGACATGTCTGAACAGGTAAATTTTTTATATAAAACAAAATATAGAAACACTTCTGTCACAAGGAAAAAAAAAAAAGTAAATAAATAAATGTAAATAAATGCTAATATTAATAATAAATTAACCCAGGGTTACATCAATAATAATTTGCTATGGAAGCTGTTACTATATTGTGAAATATGAGACAGCTTGAATGCTGGATTGACCAAACAGCATCCAGGGACGATCCATTAACAATATACAGTATATGCTTTTGTTTAATTATGTTTGTTTCCATTACTCTGAATTGTTGTGCTGACACAGTGGATTTCTAGGTTATAACCTAGTACTAAATCAAAATTTCACTGACCTTCTCCTTCATGGCCATCGCATCAGTCTGACTGACATCGATTGAAAGAACGGAATCACGAGCTCCGATGAATAAAGTGCCCTCATCGTTGCTAAGCAACAGCGTGGTGGTGTTGTAAACATCAGGGTTTGTGAAGATATTGAGGGAACGACCTGGACTACCTGTGACGCAGCAGAAAAGAAAATCAACTATTAAAGAGCAGAAACATAATTGGAAAAATAATGGCAAATTACAGTCTTATTGCATAGTTACCACTAATTAATTACCAATATTTTTATTCCAATTAAAGAGTGCAAGAGTTGTGTTTCCCAATATTTGGGATCATTAAAGTGATAGTTCACCCAAAAATGAAAATTCTGTCATTAATTACTCACCCTCACGTCGTTCCAAACCTGTAAGGCCTTCTTTCATCTTCAGAAATTCATAAAACTAAGGTTGTCACATGGATGTCACATGGACTATTTTAACAATGTCGTTACTAACTTTCTGGACCTTGAATGTAGTAGTTGCGTTGCTGTCTATGCAGGGTCAGAAAGCTCTCGGATTTCATCAAAAATATCTTCATATTTGTTCTGAAGATGAAGGTCTTACGGGTTTGGAACGACATGAGGGTGAGTAATTAATGACAGAATTTTCATTTTTGGGTGAACTATCCCTTTAAGATGTGGCATTATTTTCATATTCCATTAATGAGAGTTAAGGGATGGAGTGCATATGATAAAAAAACGTATTATTTATTCTATTTAACTGTCCATCATAAGGCCTGATTTTCCAAATGCAATTATTATTTTATTCTGAGGTGATTTAAAACCCAGATAATTCTTCAGCATGATGTGAAAAGATGACAAGAGCATTTAGTTGAATGGGTGAATTTAATCTAAATTACTGCAGCTATGACTACAGGAGTCTATAAGAGCAGTAGTACTATTACAGCACTGCAAGCAAAACAGCTACATTTGGTACATATACAATGACTTTACTCCTGGATTAAGACATTTTTCCAAGCATATTAATGTGCCAGCTGATGTAAACTATGCCAAGTGTCACATGAAATTTGTCAAAACTGCTGGTTTCTTAAGAAGCAGCCATCAGATTCGCCTATGTGTTATAAATTAACACTGAGCCGCAGCCATAATGAGAGAAACTGGGATAAAATCATTGACAGCAGGGGGCAGCCAAGCCTCCACAGCAACAACTCATTATTAATTGTGGCAAAAGACAAAAACACAGTTCTCATGACAATGACGCAGTGTTTTGGTGAGAATTTGAGTCTGCAGGTTTTCTGATGAAGAGATTAGTTTAGCAAGCACAAATTACACAACTTGATGTATCAAATAGGGTTGAGATACAAGCTGATGTTTAAATTTTAGGGTTTGCGGTTTGTGCTATGAGAAACAATATTAGTGGTAGACTACTTATGAAATGTGAAAGACAAAAGAAATCTTGATTATGGTTTTGTTTTCAGCATAGCTACTGTTTTCGACACACCTAATCAATTACACACAAAAAAAAAAAATCTCGCTTTAAACCTCAAGTTAAAATTCAACACTATGATGAGGAAGTCTATCTCCCCAGATGAAAGGCACTGTAATTTCCAAGAAGTCTATTCGTGAAGCGTGCAAAGACAACTACGACTTCCTGTTCATTCTTTATAGGCACCATAGAGTGTGTCATAAACGTCTGCCGTGCTTTTGCTTGACTTTTATTAGATTTACAGTCGCAGTGAGGTTTTTTTCACCAGGTGACTGCCTGGTTCACCTCCAGTTTGATGTTTGTAAATTTAAACTGTTTTCTCAGAGCCTCAAACCTGCCATAGCAGCCAATAACTGGTTTCTGTAACGTGATCTTCCCCTAAAAACCACATCTCAGAAACATCACAGCTCAATCAGGTTCAGTCTAGACTAAGATAAGATGGCTAAAGCTGAAATGTCTCAGCAGACGGGCGACTGAAAACCACTCATCACAGTCAGTGATCTATTCAACACACGCACACAAACATTGTATTATAAAAATAATAGATAAACCACAATGCACGTCTGTGACAGCAGAACAATGAGACCGAGAACAAAATATGAAGGTGGCTGCATGAATTATTGATTGTATTTTAATTTGGTTTAATATGGCAGAACAAATATACACCATAATGCGTGCTGGGGCGATATCTGCCATGATCTACATGCAAAAACAAGCATGCATGCAGGCAGTAATGCTATGGGTTGAACAGTTTGGTGGTGGAATTTGCAAGATTTTTTAATATTTAAGTCTCTTATATTAACCAAGGCTGCGTTTATTTGATCAAAATACAGTAAAAACAGTGATATTGTGAAATAGTATTACCATTTAAAATAACTGTTTTCTGTGTGAATATATTTTAAAATGTAATTTATTCCTGTGATCAAAGCTGAATTTTTCTTCAGTGTCACATGATCCTTCAGAAATCATTCTAATATACTGATTTGATGCTCAAGAAACATTTTTCATCAATGTTAAAAACAGTTGTGCTACTTTATTTTTTTGTAGAAACCTCAATTTTTTTTTCCAGATTCTTTGATGAATAGAAAGCTCTAAAGAACAGCTTACATGTGAAATGTATTAAAATGTATCTTGTGTAACAAGTTTTCATGCAAAACAGTAACGCCAACCCTCAATTTAGTTTAATTTTAACTGTTCACATGGAACTTTGCTCATATTTAAATCAAGATAATCGTATGTTGATAAGTAGCCAAAATAAATGCACAATGGTTCGTGAGAATGTACAGACCTCAGAATAAACAGCTATGTGTTATGTTATTCTCAAGAACTGAAACGGTAAGTGGTTTAGTTAACAATGACAACCTAAATACCATATCTATAAATTATGTCTTAAAGTCTACAACTACAAAAAGAGTGACTGCTTCTCTGTTAGCATCCGTAACTATGTCAGCTCTTGAACAGGAAACTTGCTCGGGTCAAATATGAGCATAGTTCAATACCTAAACTGAAAACAAAAAAACCACAGAGTGTGAGAGGGGAATTAATTCTGACTTGATCAAAGGTCTGTTCTCTTTAACAGAACTCTGTGGATCCAATAAACTCATTTCACCCACAAGCTGGGAAAGAAGGGGGGTGAGGTGGTGTTACGCAACTATTTCAGATCTGAAAAGCTCCTGCCAATGCTTGCAGAAGCACACACCGCTATCCGGGCCTTCGCAGAGCGTTTGGAAAAGCGCCGACTGCAAGGATAGTGAGGTCATACAGGAAGCTCAACGAAAAAGCAAGCTTATTAACTTCTAAGTCACATTAAAATCAACACATTATTGCTCTAACCGCAGTTCTTATTCTGCCGAGAACATGCAAACGCCTTCCCCGCTCGCTGTCATGGCCCTGAGATGAAAACACTGGGCTCCGTGGGGAGGCTAATCCTAAAGCCGAGCCGCAGCATACCAGCTGTCTTCTCCAAACAGCCCTCTGAGCGAGAAGAAGAACGTCAGCACTGCTTTACCTCCTCCGACACTCACACGACACATGACAACTTCTGTGTAATTGTGGCTTCACAGAAATCTCCACAGAATTCACACCTCCTGACCCTGTGTCAAATGCTTTTGTTCATTTGATAACGATTAACGTGCTTCGTAACTGGTTTAAAACCACAGCTTTTCACCAAAATCAGTTCAAGAAATGACAATCTGCTTAAAAACATCTGATACATAATAAAAAAAGACATACTGTCTTCTAAAATGTTCAATGTTCTGGTTGCAAAAGGGGGGAAGGAAGAGGAATTTCCAAGAAAATCTTGGCTTATTAGCAGCACGTAATGGTGACTGTGGCCTCTTAAGCGGTTCACTGAACTAAAGTCCTGTAATTCCTCGTATCAGCTGCTCTCTTGTTTGTGAGGGCTGTAAAGAACGTGGATGTGACAGTCAGCACACGGCTGTGAAATTATGCAACGCCAGGGTACATTCTCTCAGTGCAGACCACAGAAATTTAAGTAGCGCTTCAGTTCATTCATAACAACCCAAAACTTTAAAACCTCCTTGACCCAGTTTAATGTAGAAGTACTTTGTCTTCTAACAAAGCACATGTTCCCCAGACTCTAAAAAATGTAAATGTGACCAAGCAGAGGTGCAGACTGCAAGTCTGGAAGTTTGCTTGACTACCTACTGTGTCTGTACCTCTTGATTCCTTATGCATGATTATGTAACATGAGATTTGTCTAAAAGTCACACGAGGAATCAAAACTTCCTTTGTCTTTTAAGATAAGTTCATTTTACTATAAATTATTTGGTCACGCTTTACTGTAAGGTCCAACTTTGCACTATTAACTAACAACTAACTACAACTTTTGCCACGATAAACTCCTAATTTGTAGCTCATTAAATGTTAGTAAGGTAGTTGAGTTTAGGTATGGGGTCGGGTTAAGGGATCTAAAATATAGTCATGCAGAATAAAGGCCCGTTCACACCAAGGACGACAACTATAAAGATATAGTTAGAAAAAATGTTCTCAATATTAAAGAATAGCAGAGTCCACACCACACCTATAATGATAAAGACAAAGAGAAACGATATCTCTGGAATCATTTTCAATATGATTTTTCTCCAGCTGATGAACGATAAAAAATTGACAGCCAATCAGAATCCATCCTGCTGTAACGAGCTCGAGAATTTAAAGCGGCAGAAGTACGTGCACTTAGAATAAACAGACGATATCGTTCGCTGGTGTGGACGCTAATATCGTTATCTTTATAGTTACCTTTCTTGGTGTGAACAGGGCTTAAGACATTAGTATGTGCTTTATAAGTATTAATAAACAGCCAATATGCTAGTAATATGTATGCTAATAAGCTACTAGTTAATAGTGAGAATTGGTCCCTAAACTAAATGTTACCAATTATTTTGAAACTTAGTTCAATACTTTCAGATCACTTTCCCACAGTAAAAAAAAAGACCATTTATTGCAACAAAGTAGCCAAAATGACTGGTTCCAAACTTCTACCTACATAATAATACAAAGAGAGTATGACAAACAGTCAAAAAACTAAATTATCACTATGTTATAATAACACTAATTCTCATCAATAATGAATCCAATCTGATTTCAGATTCTAAAAGTTGCATATATGAACCCTAAACGTTGCAATTGAATTCACATTGATTATGTGTGAGTTCAGAACCAAAGACAC